AAATAATATGGATGTAGGTAAATTAAATAGATAAATTAAAACCGTAATGCAACGAACATATTAATGTATTAGTTTCATTTAATTAAATTTTATTAGCAATACTATTGGAAGCGGATTGTATAGCTGCGTCTGCGACGGGACGTCAGAAACTGCGGAAAAAGGATAGAACTATGTTTGTCATATACTGTCAACTCTTTCTTGCAGCTCTACGCCTGGGTATGTTTCCAGGAAAAAAGTTGTTTGTGTAAATGTAAATGAACAATCTCTAATATATCCTTACTGGGAATTAAAAGTAAAAATTATTTAGATATATATTAACCATGTAATAGTGAACTATTTCTTGAGAATTTCAGGGTAAATTTTAACATAAGGTGTTACATTTTTACGATTGGTCATGTGAATTACAGTTTGATTGGTTCAGACGCAACGAGCATATTCGACATATGCAAAAGGCAATAAACTACCTCTTCAGAAACCATAGAACCGTGAACCGTGTGTTCTACAAACTGTACTTTTCCTTGACAGAAGTGGATGATCAATAAAAATATAGTACAACATATTATTTAAAAAAAATGTGATGTTCTGCTATTTGAAATGGGAGAATACAAATAAAAATTACAATATCGTAAAATACTGACGGTTTTTGTTTGCAATTCAAAATTATAGTCTGCATTCATCAGTAACGACCCATTCGTATATGTGGTAAAACTACGAAAAGGACTGAAAAACTAAGAGGGACAATAAATGCCTAATATATAAAGAAAAAATATGTTAACATCAAAAATAACTATGTGTATCTTCTAAAACTTGATGATTTAGTTTTAAAATTCAGTTGCAAAGGTTCGGGTTAGTAAATAGTAAATAATGAAAGGTAGATACTATTCACAATGCAAGTTAAGGTTTTAGCTAAAAGACAGAACTACCACCATGGAGGTACAGGCATGTTACGATTACAGTTTCATAGGCAAACATTCATCATTAAAATGACTGGTAGGTAAGTGAATATTGACACAAATGTGACTTACCAAAAGTCCCTTGCGTTGGGAAATTTATGGTTAAAAGTTAAAAACCGAATATTTAACTCTTATTTCATAAGATTATTGTACATTCAGGGACGTTACAAACACCAAGTATGCAAAAAAGGTTGTTCAATGTAACAGTATCATTAACAGCTGAAAATTAACTATGCTTCAAAAAAACGGGATGAAAAGAATTCGAGGGTTGAATAGACGCAGAAGAGGGGTGAATAGATACTAGGAAAATTCGCCAATGTCTATTCCCCCCTTTTTGTGTATCTATTTACCCCTTAAATTCTGTTCACCCAGTTTTACGTAACTATTTAGGTAACTTTTACAAAATGTTTCAAACCTAAACGGATTAATCTTGAAAACGTTGGAAAATGGCGTTCTGCGATCGCTGTCAAGATCCCTCTGTTGCTGTCAATCTCTTCTCTCACCAGCAACCTAATATGGTCTCCTTCATTTCTCTCGAATTGCTCGTCATCATCGGACGTATTTTCGACTATACACGATCGTAATGAAATAATTAAGACGACATCTTAATTAGGTACTCTCGCTTATGTTTAATGTATAAAGTCATAAAAAAACATTAGGTATCCTAGTGACTTTACACATTTTAGAAAGCACAGACAACAAAATAACAAGCAAATATTTAGATTAAAGAAATTAAAAGGATTGAGTTTTGAATCCCGATCGATTTGATTTTTTAACAAGAGCTATCTCAATTAAAATATCCTTCATTTTTTATCTCTGAAAAGTAAGTTATTCAATAGTGTAAGTATAAGAAATATATATTAAAATCGTTCTAATCTGCATGCAAACAAACCAACAATCAATTTGGTCTGGTTTTAAAATGCACATCCGATATTGTAAGTATCCGATATGTAAAGTCAAGTCAATTAAAAATATGTGGACTTTCTAGTTATTTTAATTTTTATATACAAAGGGCCAATTCGTTATAATTCTTATGAGTCCTTTTTAAATGTATTATTGTGTCTTAACGGCTTGCTTACGTAAATTTTTGATGAAGAACTGGACTACTTTCAAATCAAGTTAGGAACTGCAGCATTGTGCGACATTCGATTTTCAATCAATGAAACAGTTACGCGAGGAAGCCGTTAAACATATATTTAAGTAGCTAAGTTCTTATATCTGAAGAACTAAATAAATTGTTATAATATTTCACTTATTATTCATGCATGCCCAAATTATAACAGTGAACTGTGTAAGGTATAGGTTATACCTAATTGAATTTAGCTATTATATATTTGTATGTAGGAAACATTCTAACTTGGTACTGTACATCTTTACGAGTATTCAAGTTCATATAACTAATTTGTTTTTACCCAGAGTTATAAAAACGAAGCTACTTTAAAAAACCAAAAGCAACAAAACAAAAAAAACGTTTCTTTTAAACTGTTTGTCTCGTTGTATGCCACAGAGTTCCCAAAATTGATTAAGTTATTTTGTAAATTATTAGTTTAAGAGGAAGTCATTAAACAAAGCGATAGTAAAATAACAAAGTTGTAAGCAATGACTTTGATTATTTCGATTCTGTAACAATACACCAGTTTGACCTTCCTTCGTATCATGTAATCAGGTGCACTTGTATATTATACAATTGTTTTATCGTACTAATATAACTTCGTATTAGTTAAGTATCTAATACACTGTTTATATTCGGGACATGCAAGAACTTTAATAAATATTTCAAAATTAATTATTATTACTTATTTATTTTTGAACTACAATACAATTAAATGAGTTTTTAGTCAACCTAAGTTATAAAGGAATTAAATTAAATATGTATTATATTTATTAAAATGTATTTAAGTATATTAAAATACGAACCATTTCTGCACAGCATTTTTATATTTTTTTCAGACGGTCACGTTCAGGGCTAAGTCAACTAGTAACTGTAACTAGACAGGTTAGACCTGAGTTTTTATTTGATTTATAATTGATTATCAGAGATAACACCGGTAATTTACTGTAAAGTCAGATAAAACTTATATTGTTAAAAATTAGAAAGTAAAATTAACCCAGTGATAACAAAACTGATAACGGAGTAGGGCAGTTTAGCTTATCAGTAATCGTAGAACAATATTATAACAATTACACTTCGCCTAATTTGATAACGTAATCAATTAAGTATGTTAAAAATAAAGTCGATGTGCATGTAAATTTGAAACGTAGTGCAATTTGAAATTGTAGATTATCATATTTTTTTTACCTACTTACCTTAATCCTAAATTTCTGGAACATTTTTAGACTAGGTCAAAAAATATTGTATCTGTGAAAAATTTAGTTTGATATCGATTGTAATGATAATACAATTAATGATACATTTACCTACCTATACACGTGTGTTCAAATAAAATTTATTAATGAGTAGGTTTTAAATTTCTAGTAATTTCTTTACATGTGTTAAAAAGATTTTTCTGCTCAACTGTTTGAGATAGATAAGACTAAGGCTTCAGTTCTAGAGTAACAACCTGGTTATTGGTATCATTTAGTACAAAGAGCCGTGTACCTGATATTTCTGGAAAGTATAGAAAAAAATCACTTATTTTGAGCCTCATCAGCTTACATGTTTTATTAATGTAAAAAATTAAAAGTTTACAGTTAACATGCCACGTATATTTAATTAAAGTTAGCTAATTATATTCTTTATAATCAGCCTATAAGGCCTCTTCTCAAACGGAAAAGGTTTGTGCGTTTATCACGAGGCTTGCTTATAAAGTGAAAGCGGCGATGTCTAACTTATAATTAGAAATTAAAACTCTAGGTTTTCTCACGATGTATTCCTTCACCATATTATGTCAATGGTGTCTAACTACACTTAAGAAGTACTTATAACTCGGAAAAAGTAAAGTTAGTACTCGTCAGATTTCGAACTCGCCAAGCAAAAGAAAAGAGCGTCTTTCATTGTTTATAAATAGTATTCGTCAGTCAGCATGTATCCAGGTACTTGTGTTTCATTCACTAAACTAAATAATAATATTTTTTTCTGGTTCAATAAATTCGACAAAGGGGTTGTTTTTCTCCGTTTTGGTTGTTATTGTCAGTTTGGGTAAAGCCGACAATGGTATAGCACTACGTTTTCCCTGAGAACCTTCAACTTTTCGGTCAATACAACGGTCACTCAAATACATCATCATCATTATCCTTCAGCGGGGGTTGCGGGCACCAATCGCTGAGGCAGGCACCGGCCTCGGCCTAAAGCAGGAGAAGGAACATGGGGTTTTTTAGTCAGTAAGCGCCTGACACTACATCTCGCTGGGCGGGCAAAGTATTTTAATGATTTTTGATTATAAAAAAATCACCACCAGCCTGTTTCCGTCCACTGCTGAACATAGGGCTCTTTAATTGTACGCCACTGACCTCGTCATTCCGCTCTTCTCATCCAACCATTCAAATATCCTTATCCGTAATTACTCAGTATCTAAAACTGCATTGTTTTACTCTAAGCACCGAAGAAAGTACTTGAGGTAATACATTCAATGAATTATTGCATAATGTTTATTATTTCGTATCTAACATGTGAATATAATTATTAAAATTTTTAAATATTATGATATTGCAATTCATGTGAAGTCTAAGTCTGTGTTTTTTGTGTTCAAGCGCGCAATTAGGTACCGCAGCCACGGCTTGAAAGAATAGTCAGACTCTGGCACAGAGTCTGGCACTCCCCCTCGCCATACCCATGCCTAGATGAGAAACGTCATTTGATGATTTACCGTACCCAAAAATACGGAGGCGCGGCAGATGTAATATGACATGCAATAACAAAACAATTAAAGAATACAAGGGTGCTATTATTAGCTTGATGATAAACTAAAAAAAAGTAAACAGTTGTAAGCCAATGAATAATTAGAAACATCGTGCTTATATTTCTCAATTTTCACGCGACGTTGGATCAATTGTAATGATAATTAGTACGGTAATATAATAATACATTGATGGGTGTGTCACGTATCTATGCCCCTATCTCTGACAAAAACAAGGCCACAAGGAGGGGCAGAGATCGCGCCAGTAAAATCCCTTAACCTCTTGTCTGCTGGTATCATCATATCAGCCTATAAGTGCCCACTCCTGAGTCTTTGCTCAGGACCTTCTCCAGAGAAGGAGAGAAGGAGAGAAGGAGAGGAGGAGAGAAGGAGAGAAGGAGAGAAGGAGAGAAGGAGAGAAGGAGAGAAGGAGAGAAGGAGAGAAGGAGAGAAGGAGAGAAGGAGAGAAGGAGAGAAGGAGAGAAGGAGAGAAGGAGAGAATGAGAGAAGGAGAGAAGGAGAGAAGGAGAGAATGAGAGAAGGAGAGAAGGAGAGAAGGAGGGAAGGAGAGAATGAGAGGAGGAGAGAAGGAGAGAAGGAGAGAAGGAGAGAAGGAGAGAAGGAGAGAAGGAGAGAAGGAGAGAAGGTTTGAGCATTAATCACAACGCTTGCTCAATGGCGGTTGGCGATTTCAAACTTATAATTAGAAATTATAAGTCCAGGTTACCTCACGATGTTTACGTTCACCGTATGTTAGTAGTGTCTAATCTAAACAATCAAAGAAAGTACATACAGAAATAAACAAACTCGGAAAAAGCCATGTTGGTACTTGCCAGGTTTCGAACCCACACCCGCACGAACGCATGAGAAGTGGGCTCCTTAATCTTCGGGCCACCACCACATGCTGGTATATGAGACAAAATAGAAAACACATTGAGTCTCACGTTTATCTGCGGGTTAATAACAACTAATATATATAACTGGAAGCATTCAAATGACTATTAGGTATGGTGGAGCTATGATCGTTTTGTTTAATTGTTTGTTAGCATTTATCTGGGGGACTACTGGTGCGAATTGAACTATTGTGTTTTTGTGTGAGATAGGCCGTTTATCAAAGAAAGGCTGCAGGCTATAAAATATCTTGCTATTACCAATAAGAATCAACAAGCGGTAAGTCCCGCGAGAATAGCTAATCTATACATATAACTATATAAAATGAATCGAAAAAAGTGTTAAGCGGAGTAGTACGCGCAAAACGCAATAGCCTAGAGCGATTTAACCAATCATTTTTTGGAGAACGTTTTTATTAAAGAATATTTAAGAAAAGAAGAAGGGAGTGTTGGGAAAATAGCAACAAGGAAAATATGGCGCGTGCAGTGCTGGAAACGCAGTCGGGCCGCTAGTTCTTTATAAAAAGAAAGTTCTACTAATCAGAAGATCCCAAACAAGAATAATGAATACAACAATGACAGAAATCTAACGCGTGGTTCCGATATCAAGTCATCTTAGCCAAGTCCAATATTAATTAGAAAGCATATGTCCTTAGGTCAGTCTGTCGCGTGATAATGTAGAGTATGCAGTATTTCAATGATTATTGGTACTGCGTTATCTTTACCTGCAACTACAGACTGGATAATTTCTATTTTTCAACAGTTCACTGCTGTCTTATCTACACCTAAAATCTCCTATCAAACTTTAAAACCTTCAGTTCGTCAAAACATTGTCAAATGCATCTGTTTTGCAACAATAGTTAAACAAGAGATTATGATGATTTGATGAAACGAGATCAAATGCTTTTTAAGCAGCTTTTATTCAAAAATATAATAAATAAAAGTATAAATTTATTGCCATGATAGAAATAATCCACTTTCATGATATCGTTACGCCTATTTCAAAATACATAATCGTCAATTTACTTGTTATCTTTTGTGCTGTAAAAAGAATATGTACATTTTTTATTTTTTTATAATGTGTAAGTGATAGTACCAAATAATGTGTACGATATGACTTTTGATAACCCTTCGAGCTTGGGGGTGCCCTCTTATACCGTATAGCGTATCAAAATCAAATTCATCTGTTGAAGATTGTGACCGTAGAACATTTTGTTTTAAGCGCCGAGCAGACGACGGGATTCATAGTAGGTACCCTAAGTCCCTAAGTTCTAAAGAATCGGTTGGTATGCTCGGTGATAGGCTGTTAGTGTCCTATTCGAGCGATCGAGAGAGCCTGATCGCTATAAGTCCCTATATCCCGATGAATCGTGCCGTCTGATCACTGCTTTATCAAAATAAGTTAATTGTAGATTACCTTATTCGTTGAGAGACTGCAAACGATTACTTAGCAAAGGATTTAGGGTGCAATACCCGGACCGGAGAAAGTATTAATAAAATTATTTAAGTATATTTTAGTGTTTGAACATTTTTGGTTTAAAAATACTAAAGAGTTTTAGGGCTGTAAACTTCCTTTTCTGTGCTGTACTGTTCAAGATTTAGAGATTGAAAAAGGTGCAAGGTAAAGTTTCTGTTGTGCATACGACATATTATTAATCAGATTTAGGTATAGCATAATTTCTGAGAATTTCGCAACAAAAAAACCCAAGTTGTATTTTTCCTTTAGGTAACGCGGAAACCACTTGTTAGAAAGTATGCAGTGTGCCTATAGTGATGTTTGATCGACAAGTTACAATAATTTTGAGAAAGTTAAGGTCGTCTAGAAATTGAAACAAAAGCAGGGTTTCCTTTGAATTAATATTTTACTCTTAATTTATCAAACCCTCAGCGCACATATTGTTTTTCTATTGTGTCTCTTATTTCAACAAAAGTAAGGTTGATAGACCCTAACAGCATTTTTTCCTTGATAAAATAAATATCTAGTCACTTATAGTATGTCGTTTTCTATACTAATATTATAAAGAGGTAAAATTTGGAAGTTTGTATGTAGGGGGTAATCTTTGGAAACCGCTGGTCGGATAACCAAAATTCTTTCACTTACAGATAGCTACAATGTTCCTAAATGCTATAGGCTACAAAAAATCACGCTACGATTAAATGGGGCTGAGCAAGCAGCGGGTGAAACCGCGTGAGAGTAGCTAGTTTGTTATAAATAAGTATAGGTGAACTAAAATGTTCAAATAATTACAGTAACTTGAAAAGTACGTCTTGAAATTCTTAGAAGTAGCGTAGATAGGACATGTATTGTAGGCAAAACTATCCCAAGTAAAACCGGCTGTAAGTAAAGCATCAGTAGCTTTATGTGTCAATCTTTGTGTAAACTGTGTAAAAACACAATTGATCGATTATGGATAGACAATATTCTTCTCCTTTTACCAAAACCATTACTGTTTTAATGACTGATGAAATATCAGTAAGGGATGTTAGTCGCAGTGTCTGACATGCCAGCTATATAGTGTAAGGCTAATAGTATTATTGTAAACTCATTGTCCAATTGTTGTTATTTGTAAAGTGACAGGTATCTGTCGCTACAGATACCTGTTTACTTGTCTATGACAGTGGTCATAGACAAGTAAACAGTCTTGTATTTTATTATATAAAAGTGATACCCGACACTAAAGTAATAGTCGACTAATTTAATAGTTATGGTCAGATATCGACCTTAACCGTGACCACTCTGATTTTTGGCGGGAATTCGAACGGTGTTGAATTCAACATTAAGGATATATATTTTGAATAATTATAAATATAACGTAGAATATTCAAGTATTCATTGTTTTATTTCTGAGTTAAGATCTAGTTTCTACAACTCAGAAGTGGGATTACTACAAAACGCTCACGAGTTTTGAAAAATAAAAGGAAATAAAAACGACAAAGAATTTTGAACATACAATCAACCACGAGTTTTGAAAAAATTCTTAAAATGGACTGTGACCATGGCGAATCACGAAGAAGTCGGTCTTATATACGTACACCTATTATGAGCGAGAAACGCAAGCGTCGCTACGATGATGAAGCAAGTAAAAACTACTTGAGGGAGAAGAAACGTCGCAGGCAGCAAAGAAGTACGCCTAGCGGTTCAAGTGACCAGGGCAGGACGAGTCCATCTCGAACACGGACTGATAGACGGCGTCGGCGAAACCGGAAACGTAGCTGTGAAGCTGAGCGTCGTTCGCGCCGAAGCCTAACGATGGAGTGGAGTGAGAGTGAACAGGACGAGAGGAATAGATCCCGAACACGAGCTGGTGGTCATCATTGGCGAACTCAGAATCGTAGCTGCGAGGCTGAGCGTCGTTCACGTCGAAGTCTGATGATGAAACGGAGCGAGCAAAGGCGTACCAGTACCCGGAGGCGGCTATCCAACCGAGGCAGCTCATCGAACACCGTAGTAAGTAATGCATCACGCGAAAATACCCAGGTAAGCAAATCTATGTTTGCTAACAGCGAAACTCAATTATTTTTGAACGAGTTATTAAAATCTTTGTCAGCCGCGAAGCCAGAAGGAAATAAATTTCCAATGCTGGGTAATGTTATTCCTGAATTCGACCCCATGATCAAAGGTCAGACGGTCCACATGTGGCTAAATAAGGTCGACGAATGTGCAAAGCTATACCGTTGGGGTGATGATCAGATTATTCACTACGCGCTGCCCAGACTTGCGGGCGTGGCTCGTACGTGGTACCAAGCGTTGCCTTCAATGTCATTTTCGTGGCCTGAGTGGAAAAGTAAATTAATTGATTCCTTTCCTAGTAGTGATGATTACGCAGAACTTCTTACTGAAATGTTGAATAAACGCGTGAAATACAATGAATCGCTAGAATTATATTATTACGAAAAATTAAACCTACTGAATCGATGCGAGGTTTTCGGGAAACGTGCCGTTGATTGCCTGCTGTATGGCATTGAGGATCGTTCCTTAAGACTTGGTGCTAAAGCAGCGAAATGTCAAGAACCTGAAGAGGTTCTTAATTACTTTCAATCCATTAAACAAAGTCGCGATTTTGACAAGTCTAAAATTGGCCAAGATAAAAATACCTACCATATATCATCAGTAAATTCAAACTTTATCACTAAACAATCAGTTGGAAATGACTCCAAGACGTCTAAACCACCATCTAGTACGTCAATGACATGTTTTAACTGTAAAGAAGTAGGTCATTTCAGTGTTAAGTGCCCACAAAAGTTACGCAGATGTAACATTTGTAAGAGGATTGGCCATGTAACAATTGATTGCCCGCAACTGTCTAATGAAAAGAGTAAGGATATTAGTACAGAAAAAAAAGGTCATGAAAGTCGATGTTAAAGATACTAGTAATGACAAATGTATGATTTAATTAAAGATTAACGATGTTTTAGTTAGAGGATACGTAGATTTAGGCAGTCAGTGCACAACGATACAATGTAGCTTAGTAAAATCATAAGGAGTTACTTGGTCAGTAGGCAAGTTACCAGTTACGAGGGGATTGGGTAATATATAGTTGTTTCAATGGGAAGGCATGTATGAGAATGAAAATTAGTAACATCGTAGAGACGGTCGACGTTTACATACCTAGTTGAAGATGGTATTATTAAATAACGTGTGGTTGTTGGTCACAGCTTTACTGAAAAACTTAGTATCATTATCTTAAAAAACCTCAGATTCTTAATCTTTAGCAAGAAAGCGATTAACAAATGCGGTTTTTTTTAAGACGGATGTTGAATT